GCATTTAACAACAACAATAACAACAGACTTACCCTGTCTTTTCAGGTCCCCATTGGATCTTTCCTAATTCCTTCATACACACACTCCCATCCTGCCCACCTCCCATTTATCTTTTGATGTTAACGTAATGGTTTCACAAAGTTTATGCAAACTTTCTACGTTTCCCTTAGCTCTGTGTTTGAACACTTTTGTGAAGATTCTTTGAAGCCAGTGGAGATAAAGGGAGAGTAGTGCCTTATAGGGGAGTATCTGTTATTCCTGCGGGCTTTCTATTCATAAAAGGTGGCTTTTTTAATTTGGGCAGAGGTTGTTGAGTCTTAATGAAATTATACTCAGTTTTTTACAAGCCAGACTTTGACCCTGTGAAGACCATTGGAAATTTCTTTTCCTGTATTTCCATTTTGAAGGACTAGATTGCTTTTTCATCCATTTAAACTCAAATTAGACCCATTGCTGTGATGTCAGTTCCAATTCTCAGTGACCCTTGGAAAATGTAGAATTAATTGCCCCATAGTGTTTCTGAGGCTGTAAATCTTTCTAGACACAGACTGCCACCATTTGTCCTACACAGCAGCTGGTGGGTTCGCACAGGCAAACCCTGAATTACTGAGTCACCGGAACCCCTTTTTTCTTTTTTACCCACTTTCTACCTTCAAGTAGGAACCGACTTTTAGCTGGCCCTCCATTGGGCCTCAGAAGCTGTGAATCTGTGGGCGGAGACTGCTCTTTTTTCTCCCTGAGAGCTGCTCACTGGTAGATTCTGACCTTTGAGTTGGGAGCACAACTCCCTGCAGATGACACCAGCAGAGCGCCCTTCATCCCTTTAGTGAACTCTGTATTAAAAAGACAAACCAGCAGGATTTCCTAAATAAAGACATTTCAGGGTTGACAGTTTGTATGTCTTCAGCCTTAGTGCAGAGGCACAGATAACTTAGAGGACAAGGCTGGCTGATCTTACTTACGGAGGTTGCTTGCCTATTGCTAAGGGATTTTATGCCATTTTTTGGGGGGGTAAAGTTTACTCTTAGAGTTCCCCCTAATAAGTAAAAGAATGGTTTAACCTCTCGCAGAATGTTGGCATACATTTGTTCAGTAATGCTGTACAGCTAAAGAAGAGTAGGAGTGAGGAGATTTAGAACTTATAATGAAGGCTGGAAAGGAGCGAGGCAGGGCAGGGAAGGATTCCCAGCAGGTAGAGATTGATGACTGTGCTCAAAGGTCGACCAAGGACTGGAATTTTTTAATAAACAGAGAACAAGAAGTCGATGTGAGAGAGAGTAAGGATGGAAGGCTCTCTCTCATTGTTGTCCAGTCAGAATCAACTCATAGCTGACCCTCCTTTTGGTGTCTACGGTGATCTATTGCATGGGAGGAGATGGCCCACTTTTCTCTTGTAGAGCTGCTGGTGGATTTGAACTGCCAGAGTCATGGCCTTAGGGTTAGCAGTGCACCTCCCTATGGAGCAGGCCACCGAGCTCCTTAAAGGTGGAAGGCTATGTAAATGCACAGAACTGGGCATAGTGGCTCTCAGAAAGTGGAGGCCTAAATATCGGATCTTGATATGATTCATAGAGTGAAGTGTCTGGGTAGCACAGAAGGTTAACATGCTCAGCTGTTAACAAAAATGCTTAGAAGTTTGAATTCACTCACATCTTGGGAAAAAGGCTTGGCAGTCTCCTTCTCAAAGGCCAGCCACTGAAAGCCCTGCAGAGGACAGGTCATGACAGACATGGGGTTACATGAGTTACAATCAACTTCAGCTCTATGGCAACTGATCACCCCCCCCTTATATGGATTACAAAAGAGAATTGGAATGAAAATCACAGGGTTTTCCCCCCCCTTTTTTTCCTATCTTTAGATGCTTATAGCTGCTTTTGCTAGGAAGGAATAAGAGAGGTGAACCGGGTCTCAAAGTATCTGAATAAAGGTTCTTCCTCTCCACCATTTTAAAAATACCAAGCAGCCTCCTTTTAATTTGCATATCCTCTAGCCTAGAGGAAGCACTTTAATCAGTACTTCTAATTGTGGAAAAGAAGAGAACATGCCACCACCCACACAGGCACACAGAACATCCGATGATGAAGAATGGTTGTCCCCCACATGAGGACCCAGGACGCTGGTTTCCCCAGGGCCTGAGTAAGATGCCAGATTGCTGGGTGGAAGTCAAATCTCCCCCACTGTCGGGAGCAGCTGGCTCGCTCGCAGCTTTTGGGTCTGTTTCTCATCCTTTTCCCTTTCATTCTTCCATTCTTCATTGTCCTCCCCCCTTTTTTTTTAGAAAACATTTTTGACAGTCCATCCTGGTTGGAGCTTTTTATCTTTAAGCTCATTATTCCAAATGCTGTTGTACGTCTGGAACGATTAAAAAAAAGTCCATCTGTGAGCCCTCCTGCCTTTTCTCGAGTATCCCATACGGGTGCCTCTCTTCCCGTTTATTTTCCCCACACTCTCCCCACCTACGTGAATGATCCACTGACCTTTGTGTTCTGGTGAGTGATGGAAATCCTGGGGTGTATTAGCTATCCCCACAGCTGCTGTTTGGAGCCTAATTCGGAGGAACGCTCATCCAGAGATTCTCTCCTGAGGCAGTTTGACCTAGTCACTCTTCATTTAAAATTTGGAATAGTCTGTTATTATGCTCCATGGGTCCAATGCAGCAAGTATTGATTCAACTAGGAACCCCGTAGGATAGAAAAGAAATAGAAGACAAAGCTGTCACAGCCATCTGTATTCTCTCAGCTCTCTAACAGGCACACATAATGGTGAACAGCATGCTCCGCTGTATAACAACTGCTGGAGCCCTGGGGACATGGTGCATTATGTGCTGGACTCTTTACCAAAAGGTCAGCAGTTTGAGTCCATGAGAGATTCCTTGAGAGAAAAAAATGGGCAGTCTCTCCTCATAAACATCTACAGCCTCAGAAGGCCCATGGAGGATGGAAATGTGGAAGGCAGTGGGGAGTTTTTATGAGAAGTGCTACTGAGTGATCAGAGTGATTCCAAATTTCATCTAACTAAATCTGTTTCATAACTTCCTGCAGCATTAGAATACATAGAATAGGAATGATATTGAGCATTGCAGAGAAGTGCTGCTGATATTGGGAGGAGGAGGAGAATACTGGGGCCATGGCCTCTCTCCCCTGGAATGGCGGGCTTGACATTGACCTCAGGGGATAAGTAGGCCTTATAGTTGGCAGACTGGTTTTTAAGGTTTCAGAAAAATTGTGCAAAAGAGTTCTCGCATACCTCCTTATCTCTGCACATCACATCTCCTGGTTAACAAGTGTGCATTATGAAGCCAGTGTTGATGCATTATTATCGACTAAAGACATTAATTTATACTAGTTTATTATACAGTTCTGTAAGTTTTGATAAATATTTATTGTCTGATTTCTACCATTAAAACATACTAGACCAAGAAGAATAGAGAGCTCTTGTGGCGTAGTGGTACGGAATTGCATTGCCAATACAAAAGTATGTGGTTTGAATCCACCAGCTGCTCCATGGGAGATGGGCATGCTATTCCTCTGGGATTTACTGCCTCTAAAAACCTGCTGGAGGGTCAGTTATTGGTTGATTCTGATTCCAGGGTACACAACAAGAAAAAGAATATAATTTTTCTAAAAGAGAATTCAGGTGGCGTAGTCCCTAAGGAGTTGCCCTGCTTACCTAAAGACTGCACCCTTCTGTTGGTGGGTCCTCAGGAGAAAGAGTGACAGTTTCCTTCTATCTGATCCCAGCCTTCAAAAACCTGCTGGATGCTTTGCTTTGTGTGTTGGTTCCTACCTGAGGACAGTAATGAGTGTTATTCTGAAAGTGGCCCGTATTCTCCCTGTTCCTATCCCCTCCCCCGGATCCATAGTCAAGCCTTGATCTTTTCAGCATCTCTATGGAGTTGCCTTTTCTAGATAGAATATTATGTAGTTGGAGTTGGATAGGATGTAACTTAGACAGGTTTCTTTCACATAACAATATGCACTGAAGGGTGGACTGTAGTTGTTTATCCACTCGGTTAAGGAGTATTTTGTTGCCTCCAGTTTTTATTAGTGACGAGTAAAGTTGCTGTAAGAATTTATGTGCAGGATGAATAGAATTTTTAGCTGGGTGAATCTTGAGTGCCTGCCCAGGGTGCAGTGTTGATAGAGCACCCAGATTGGTGTGCCCTGTAAGTCTAAAATGTGTTGAGAAATGATTTGTGTGGTATCTCTTAGGAAATGAGATCACATTAGTTGTGTGACACCAGACCGAAGTAATTTATCTGTGACGTCAGGAAGGATGGATTATAAGAGTAAGGACAGTTCCTGCTAGAAAGATCTCTTGCTGAAGGCAACTTGGTTTTTCTGGAACACTGCAATTGGACTTTTCTTGTGGTTTGCTCTTTGCAATAACAGACAGAATTTGCCTTGTGTTAAACCCAGGATGCCTTGAACTGGTAACATTTTACAGATGACAATTTCTACAATACCTGGGTGGCACATAGTACATGAGATGTTGGGTTACTAAGCAAAAGGTCAGTAATTTAATTTCACCAACCCTCCCGAGGGTGGAAGATGGGCAGTCTCCTCCTTTAAAGATTTACAGCTATGGAAAGCCGAGGGAGGGTCACCATGAATCAGAATTAACTCAGTAGCAGTAGGTTTGGCTTTTGATATAGCAAGCGAGAAACTCAAACTCATGGCCTTCAAGTTGAACCCAAGTCACAGCTGCCTCTCTGGTGGGTTTCTGATGCTGTAAATTGCACATGTGGACATTGACACCCCACCCCACCCTCTCCACTGGAGCCACTGGTGGATTCAGACCTCTGCGCAGCTCCATATGGACCAGGCTACCAGAGCTCCCTATACCAAGTCAAGGTGGTACTAAAAGGATATGCTTGAGCCATAGAGAGTATCATTTGTGGGTCACATACGGTGGTGATCTTATGTCTAATGGATGTGGACATGGCAGAACCTCATGTTTTCCTATGAAAATGGTAACAACCGCTTTTGATTATTTTCCAGGGGAATCGATCCCTATGACAAACCAAACACCATCTACATTGAGCGTCATGAGCCTTCTGGCTACTCCACTGTTGTCCGCAGCACAGATTTCTTCCAGTCCCGGGAAAACCAGGAAGTGATTCTCGAGGAAGTGAAGGACTTCCAGCTTCGGGACAAATACATGTTTGCTACGAAAGTTGTGGTAAGTGAATGAGCTCTTGGTGGCCTAGTGGTGAGGAGTCATGCTGCCAGGTCAAAGGCAGGTGGTTCTAATCCACCAGCTGCTCCTTGGGAGAAAGGTGAGCATTCTTGTGCTGGGCAGTTTACAGCCTCTGAAAACCCTCTGGAGAGTCAGCTATGAGTTGATTCTGACCTGATGACACACAATAAGAAGAAGGAATAATATGGCTTTTGGTTTTCCTACTTGAGGTTTTGGTGTTTGAGGATAAAACAGGCGAGTTTCTAAAAGGAGGATTTGATTGACATGCCTGGCTAAGGGAGCTTGGCGGAACGTTAACTGGACATTTATGACAACACTCAAAGGGCCTGGAAGATTCAACCTCAAAGTCAGGTTGCAGGAGTGGAGAGCCTTAAGTCAACCTCTAAAACAGGACTTTAGGAATTCCGTCTGATAGCCGAACATTCTTGATAAACATTTATTTCTTTAAAATCCCAACTGAAAGAACACAGAAGGGAGACATGAAACATGGTGGGCTTATTTTTTTTAAATCTTATTATCTAGTTCCCTTTAAACTTAGGCTGATTTCTTTGCGATTTTGGAGGCACATGTTAATTTACCAGGCTAATAGGATGTGTAGTCATTGGCTAGTGAGAGTTAATGCTCTAAGAAAAGCAGTAATTAAGCTTCCAGCTGTCAGTAAGTAGCTTAGCTCTCAGCCTTTGGGAAAATCCTCCCCTTGACTCGATGTGTTGGAGCCAGATGTGAAATGGGGGCCTGCTCATTTAGAATCAGTGGTGCTTATTTAACAGCCGTGTCTTACAGCTATCACATTCACTCATTATTTCCCTTGTACAAAGAAAAAAAACAGGGCTGGCCACGAGCAGCTTGGCCTTCATTCCTGGGGGTGGGGTGGGATGGGGGTGGAGGGAAGGTGCCATGGCTACTTATTTAAAATTATTACTTTTTAAGCTTTTCTCTTTTTTGGGTGAAAGTTTCAAAGCATATTGCATTTTCACAGGCTGCTTCTTAATGGCAGCCCTTGCCTCCTTGCCCCAGGCCCTGGAAGGCCCCTGGTAACTAGGGACTGTTCTCCTGTCACTGTTAATCTGAGGGACTAAGCCAGATGTAATGTTTCCCTCCAGGTTCTCATTTATTTCCGTGATTGGTTGCACACCAAGCAGAAGCAGTTCAGCCCTTTGGTGAAGTTCTAGGGTGGAATGAAGACCTCTCAAACCTAGGAAGGTAGGGAATAGGGAGGAAGGTTTACATGAAAAGAAGACATAAGATAGATTAAAGGCAAGAGACTTCTCTGTTATATTCTTGGCAAGATTTCTTTGAAATCAGCTGTCTATGACGTTCAGTACTCTTCTCCAAGACCACAACACAAAGGCATCGATTCTTCTGTTACCCTTATTATTGTCTAACTTTCGGATGTATAGCAAGTGATTGAAGCAAGGATAATGAAACATGGTCTCACATACTCTGGGCAGGTTATTGGAAGAGCCAGTCCTTCGAGAAAGGCATCAAGCTTGGAAAGGCTGAGGGTCAGTGTAGCAGGGGAAGACTTTCAATAAAATGAAATAACACAGTGACCATAAGAGTGGGCTCAAGAATAGCAGAGATGAGGAGGACGGCACAGGATAACAGGGGACTCAGATCTGTTGTTCATAAGATCACTCAGAATTGTAGTTGATGTCTAACAACAAGAACAACAGTGTATGGCAACCTCAGATTATTTACCTGCACACACACACACCCCCCCCACACACTGAGGACACACGCATCCTTGAGCTGCATCAGGTAAGAATGGAGATCCTCAGATTGCACAGTGAGAAAGAGGCCAAAGGATTAGTACATCCTGGACTGACTGATGTTTCGAACTGCTGAACTCTGGGGGACCCCCAAACCTTATCTCTAGTTCTCCAGTCATCGTAGTTCCTTCTGTTTTAGATCCTCAGGGTTGGAGTTAGGTGTATGCACCTGTCTCAGGTCTAAGGTACCGTGCTTCTCCTCAGATGTGCCTTCTTACCTAATTCAAGGCTGAGATGCAAGGCTGTTGCCCATTTCTCTTAACGCCATTATTCCTTTATGTTATATGTTATACCCACATGGTATGTGTTCTACCACTTCAGCATCTCTATGGTTTTTCATTTTTTAAAAAATGTTATTTTGTTTATGGTTAGAAATATCCACAACATTAGGGGAGCTCTGGTGGCCTAGTGGCAAGAAGCTGCACTGCAATCCCAGAGATATGTGGTTCAAATCCACCAGATGCTCTGCCAGAAAAGGAGGGCCAATCTCCTCCTGTACCTGTCAGATCTGATTTGACGGTACAGACACACACAAAACAATAAAATTAAAAAACAAAAAGAAATATCCACAACATTATGTACAAGTTGTACAGCTTCTCTTTATACCATTTAGTGTACTATTTAGTGATAAGATTCTTCAAATGATGTACATTCCTGCCTTTTCTAAGTTTTCCCCTCCTGTTGATATAAATTCACTAAGAATACCATGGACTGCTAGGAAAACAAACATATTTGTCCTGGAGAGGGTTAAACCGGGTGGCTCCTTGGAGGCAAGGATTCTGAGGCTCCGTCTAACATACTTTGGACATGTTGTGAGGAGAGACCGGTCCTTGGAGAAGGACATCATGCTTGGAAGGGTGGAGGGACAGCACAGGAGGGGAAGGCCCTCTATGAGGTGGATTGATTCAGTGACTGGGATAATTGGGATGGGAGTGTCAGAGACAGTGCGATTGGCACAGGACAGAGCGGAGTTTAGGGCTGTTGTACATAGGGTCGCTATGAGTTGCAAGTGACTCGACGGCACATAACAACAACAACAACAACAACAACAACAACAACATGCTAGATTATTGTTAGACTTTAAGAAGACTTTAGGGGATATGTCTGGTCTGAGGTTTAAAGGTTACGTGATAAGTTTTCCTTAATTCCTGACCAGTGGTAAGATGTCTCTTTTGACAATCAGTGGTATGGAACCCTATGTCTTTGATACAATGTAGAGTACAGCAGAGTTGCATGAAAGTTCATGTGATGTAAAAAAAAAAAAAATAGAGGCTCTGAGATTGTTTTTCAAGTGGTTGTTGTTACGTATCATCAAGTTGACTATGTCTCATGGCAACTCTATTAATTACAGATCTGAATCCAGCCCTATCCTGTGCCAACCTCCTCGTCTCTGATATACTTGAGGCAGTTGTTAGAGTCACTGTGTTAGTCCATCTTGTTGGAGGTCTTCCTCTCTTTTACTGACCCTCTGCCTTTCCAAGCATGTTGTCCTTTTCTATGGACCAGCCTTTTCCTGACAGCATGCCCAGAATATGTGAGATGAAGTTTCAACAATTTTGTCTCCAAGTCACTTTCTCTAAGATATGTTTGTTTGTTCTTTTGGCAGTCCAGGGGATATTCAGTACTCTTCTCCAACACCACAGCTCAAAGGCCTTGATTAAAAGGGTAATTTTTATTCATGGTTCAACTTTTAGAAGTGTAACAAGTAATTGAAAATACCATGGCTTGAATCAGATGCACCTTAGTCTTTAAATTTATATTGTTGTTCCTTAATCCCTTAGAGAGGTCTTTGACAGAACATTTACCCAAACAATATGCCTTTTGATTTCTTGACTGCTGGTGCCAAGGGTGTTGATTGTAGATCCAAGTAAGATGAGATTGTGGACAACTTCAATCTGCTCTCCATCTGTCATGATATTATCTGTTGGCCCAGTGGTGAGGATTTTTGTTTTCCTGATGTTGTATTGAAGATTGTAGTATACTAAATTATTCATACTCTCATAGTTAACTAACTCTCTATACAGAGGTGGTGTACATATTTATGTGTTGTTGGTGGCAAAATTGTAAGTTCTCCCATCAGCACATGGGCAGGCCACCAGCTTCTGAGTTCACTTGGTGCTGGTGGCTGCTGCTAAGATGAGCCAGGCCACATCTGGAAGGGTTTCTCAAGTGGTGGTTTTATGAGCACCTGCAGTAGAATAATTTAAGAGCTAATACCGAACTGCTCAAATGTATTTTGATTCCAAAGTATTCCTGAGTGTCCAAGAAGTGCTGAAGTTTGTGAGGAAGTGTCTGCCCTGCCTGTAGGTTCTCTAATAGCCAATTATGTTGTTCAGGATAGGTTACTAAAAGGATGGGTTGATGAGAGAAGAAACACAATTGCCAGTGTGTGCATTCCTTCTTTGTATTACATTAGACTAGTAAGCCATGGGTTGAACAAATGTGATCCCAGTAGGAGTTTTGTGGCTTCCAAGTATAACTTCTTATCTGAGGTCTTATCTGGCTTTAAGGATACCTTCAATATTAAAGAAACTTATTTTGAAATCACAGAAAATTGATTGTGATTGAAAAAGCCTTCTGCTTCCTTTTAACACCATGAATGAGAATTATTTATAAGCTGCTTTTATGTGTTTTTTTTAATTAATTTTAATGAAAGTTTACAGAGACTTAGGATTTCCATTCATTCATTGTTGCACTTTTCTCCCTGACCACCCCTCTTCCCCCAATTCACCCTTCTCTTTAAAAAGTAAAAGAAAAAAAATCTTTCATTGTTATAAAATCCCTCCCCCCAAGTCAGTGTCATGGTAATGTGCAGGCCTTCACTGACAGATGATGGTGGCGGTGCATGAGATGCATTGGCTGGAATCCAAGTCAGGCTCACTCATGGAAAATGAGAATTCTACCACTGGCTCCATTGTTGTGCAATCCTGAAGACAGAGTAGAACTGCTCTGGAGGGTTTGCAGGCTGTGGGTCTTTATGGGAGCAGATTGCCATGTCTTTTCTTCCTATGAGCTGCTGGTGGGTTTGAACTAC